AGGCACCAATTCTGATTCAATTCAAACATGCCTCTGGCGTTGGTGGTGACAGATAACATTTGCAAATCCTGTTCGCTAATAGCTTGCTCTGTTGAGGTATCCGTTTCCGACCTATGAGTCTCCGGCTCAGTTGCCAGGGCTCTTGCGGCTGCCGTCGTATCCTTTGCTGCCGGCAGATGATCTACTCCCACCATTTCTGAGCTGAAAGCTTCATCTGAATCGGACGACTCTACTGCCTCAAGCACCGCCGAACTTGGACGAGATCCTCGAGACTGTCAGTGGAGCTGACCCTCGCGATACCGCAGTGCCGAGCAGGGCAAAGCTGAGAGCGGATCTCCCGCGGAACTCTCGCTGTCTCATCTTGACCGTACAGTATGCAGTCCCTACATCAAGCTTTGATGCATCGCGGGTGATCCGTAAGCTGTGCCCTGGGCCGGGGTGCTGTGCAGAAAGCCAGTCCTTCAGTTTTCCCAAGAACTGGATGGCTTTGCGCAGCTTGCGCAGCGCGGCCTGCAACGAATCGGCTGCGCAGAGCCTCAGAGCCTCGGCAGTCCGCTTGTCAGAGGTGAAAACCCTGAGAAGGGTGTTCCAGGCTATGTGGACGAGAAAATGGCACAAGATGATATCGGATTGCGAAGCATCGCACCGCCTGAAGTTTCAGCATGACTTCGTCACCGCCCCAACTCTGAAATCTCAGGTCTGCTACAATGTCGTCATTTCGGCGGCGGGGCGGAATGTGCGCTGGCCTGCAGCCTTGGAGATCATGGCAAGCCTGGTTCGTTCCACAGCTGAGCCCACCGCCACTTGACGAAGCTTTGAACTGCTGGGCTGGATCCCGCTGGCATACCAAGGTTGGACCTCCGCAGGGTGATTCTCTTTGATTTGCCGAAGACTGTTCCGGAGTCTAGCGTTTCGGGCCATGCACGGGCTTCCTGGTGAGCCCTCAAGTGCAGGCAGAGACCCCAAAGTTCGGTAATGTGCCAGGTAGTCTAAGTCAGACGGTACGGCCACAGGCAAGAAGGTGATCTCCAAGCCCCCCCTCCCAAGCAGTAGCCGATCAGGCAGGTCAATTCATGAGGCCTTTCCATTGGCTCAGGTGAGCAGCTACAACGCCATTTGCTCTGCATTGGCTGCAGCCATGCGCTGGGCGCAGGCCCTCCACGCTCTTGCTGGCATGAGGCCAGTCTAGGGTGCGGCACTATGAAGACCTGAGTTTGGTGATTCTGGCAAAAGCGGGGTTGCGACTGGGAGCAGACGTAAAACCTGAACGGTGAATGGCAGAAGGATTACCCCCTGTGGTCATTGGTGAACACGACGTCTGAATTCTATCTCAGCTGGAGAGTCTGCCGGCCTCGGCCCTTCTCAACCTATATCTATATAGCACGGTCAGCAGACATAAACGACAGTAAGGATGCCTTTGCAATAAGTCTGCATCCGGCGCAAGGCACCTGGGCGCGCGGGCGGAAGTCGCGGGTTACGGAGCTGTCGTGAAGGCAGCGAGGAAGGTTGCAAAATGCTTCAGCAATGTGGCTGCTTCTATGGTTTAGGTTTGTAGGTGCGGGGCTTGAAATTTCACGGACTTGTGGCTTAGAGTTCAAAGCCTCACGGCTGTTGGTATCAGGAAGGACAGAGGGGGTGCGCACAGCACTTTGGCTTCTATTTTGTGCCCTCTTGCTCGTGTCTCAAAACTTGGTTTCAGGCCTATGCAGGCAGCCACATCAAGTCAGCCTGCTCGGCTTCAACGCTTCCACCAAATATCATCCAATGTCCCCACAGGCTTGCTCCATGACGAGGAGGTGGCAATATGCCATGCACCTTGTGCTGGCCATGCGTGGCTTGAGGGTGGTGGATCTGCAGGACGGGACCTCGTTCAAAGCGACTCGGGTGGAAAGATGTGTCGCGATGGCAGGCTCTCCGCGACGTGCAAGCAGCTGTCGAGCTTGTGCACATGCCGGTCGCAGATCAGCCTGTCAGCGATGCGCAGCAGAGGCTAGGTGGCGGTGTGAGTCACTCGAATGCCAAACATGCGACACACGGTCGGCCAGCTGTCTTGTTACTTTTCCGCCATCAGAATGCATGCGTTCAACTTGGGTGATCTCGGCGCTTACCCGCTAGGCGACGGATTGAAACCTCCTTGGCATCCATGTCTTCCGCTCTGGCAAGTTTGCTGGAGGGCAGAGGCTGGGTTTTTCAGGTCGGACCTGAGCACCCCAGCTGTTCCCCCAAGCTTTTCGGTGTTTTTCGAGTCCGCCCAGACGACAGCGAAGCCCACGTCGACCTGGCGAGCCCCGAGCAGCGAGTGGTACTGGAAACTTTGGCTGGGCGTCGGGCGGTGCAACAGAAAAGCACGAAAGGTATGCTCTGCGTCGGCCTGACCACCTGCACATGTCTCTTCAAGCTCTCAAGTACATGATGCTCGTGCCATCTCGTGCCCGCATGTACTGGGCCTTTGTCGGACAGGAAGCTGGGTGCCAAGGACCTGGCAGAGGCGCTGAAAATTCTGAAGGACCTTGCTCAGCCTCGGACCATGCCATTGTTTCTGAAGCGCTCATCCTTTGACCCTGTACAAGCTTCGACTCCGAGCGTTGGACGCAGTTTCACACCCGTGTAAGCCTATTTGCAAACTCATCTAGCCTGACGGGGCATGCTCCAAGGCGCGGGGTCCATGGCTCTTTTCGCATGAGACAAGAAAGCGAGCTAGCGAGATCTAGCAAGAATGACACTATCGACGACAAGAAGAAAGCAGAGTATTCAGAAGCGGAATAGGTTGAGTTGTTCAAGGGCAGTAGTCAGTAGTCGGTAATCACGTCAAGAAAGGGTGTGTAGAAATCAGGCCTAAGGAACCCCTCTGGAGTTCTTAATCGGGGGTCTACGCGACTCAAACATCGGACAACTGAGCGTGGGAGGAGCCTGCGCAGCTCATTGACGCGGAGTCGGGCCCGAGGCCGGGTTCTTGCCATACTTTTCGGAATCTGACCAAAGAGAATAAGGGGAAGAGTAATGAGAGTAAGAGCAATAGATAACAGTTACAATAATGGTGAGAACTGGCGCAACCATGACACTAAATAATGACATTAATGTTAATGTTGAGTACTACTGCTTCTTCTACGACTACTACTGCTACTACTGCTGCTACTACTACTACTACAACTACAACTACCACTACAACTACAACTACAACTACAACTACAACTACAACTACTACGACTTGAAGATGAGAGCTTGTCTGCTGCTTGTCTCAGGTTATTGCAGTCAATGCTGGACAAGGACGCTCCTTTCGAGGCAGTAGGGTGTTCACACCGGTTGTTGTGAAAGCCTCTTTCAAAGATCATGGTGATCACAACGCAGGTGTTCGTCTCCAATGTTGAAGCATACCGCCGGGATCGCACTCGGAGAATCGAGGAGGGGCACGCGTTCTGCCATGATGTCTTTGCCGGCCAGCCGCCTGCAACGGTGTGAAATTCCGAACTTCGCGTGAGGCTGGCGACGAATCTGCCAAGCTGAGCTTTCCGAAGCCCCAGGCGAAGCAGGCCACGGGTGAAAAGGGTGACGCTGCAGATCCAAAGCAGTGGCATTGCAGGCTGCCGCACCAGCGAAGGTAAAGCAGCCTGCACATCCCCCGCCAAAGCCGCCCGCCAAGGCTGGCAGCTCTTGGGAAGGGAAGGTAACCGGCATAACTGTAGCTGCTCTTGAACTGCCTGCAGGCAATACCGAAGCAGCCATCACAGCCGCCGAAGGCACGGAAGCGGGTGCATTTATCTACATATTTTTTGGGTTCCGTCGGGCCCCAGCTTTCTCAAATGCTTGACAACAGGCACCCGTGCCCAAGAAGCCAAGGGAGCCTTCTACACCACCGCCGAAAGCCTTGGTCAAGAGGATCGCGAAGGTGGCCGAGGGCTAACTTGCTTGGGAAGCGTTGCAATTTATAGCAACATAAAATTGCAATAGCAGTAGTAATAGCCGTATTTATAGTAACAGTAGTGGTAGTAATAATAGTAGTGTTGCTACAGACTTGAAGAAGACCGCAGTGGAATGATGGATTGCTGCTTCCTCGTCCGAGATTGGATGCCACGGATTTCCTAAGCAAGACCAAATCTTCGAGAGAAGATTCTGAAGAATCGGGGTGTGGGTATTCAGCAGGTTTCTACGGAGAGAGTACTCAGCATACCTCTCCACGTCCAACGGCCCTTTTCAAAGACCCGTTGAAGGAATGCAGAACCGTGTAGGGAACCTTGTAAGGAGCCCGGTAAAAGACCCCCAAGCCCTGGCTCTTGTGCCTCGAACGAGGCACCGGCAAAGGGAGGCGCCGCCACGGTGAGCGTGGCCAAGGTGTGCCAAGTTTCCATTGTGGGGCTTCGCTTTAGCTAAGAGGCGCCTGTTGGGACATTTGTCTTAAGCTGGTCGCAGGGATCGTTCTGATGGACCCCCCCACTCACAGAAGGTTGTTCCTCCACGTCGAAGATTGAAAGTGTCCGGTAGCATGATGTCTCGAAGTCTTCAGTAGCTGCTATCTTCGTAGGATTCCTATGCCTTCGAAAGAGAAAGGCTCCCATGTCGTAGTAATGTCTAGTCACTAGTCTAGTGTCTACTGTACAACTCCGCGGCGCGGATTGTACCCAAAAGATCCCAAAAGACCCCTCCATGCAAGGCGCCGCAAAAACGGCCCATGCCAGAGGCTACGCTGCCTCTTGCCAAGAGGTGCGGTTACCACTGCATAGCTTGCCCGGAAAGTCAGCGGGTAGCGCTTTGCAGAACGGCTGTGACAGCTGCAAGTGATGCAACGGCTGTCCTATCTATCTGTTCTGAACGTGCCCGTCCTTACTACAACTTCTGACCAGACCGCGGCCGATCGGTGCGAGCGTGGCTCCGGCATGGATTGCCTCGCTGTTTGCTTCTGTGAATTGCTGCCACCTGTCCATGCGAGCTACTTCCCAGCTGGTTGGGCTGCAATGAGCGCAAGGCGCAGCCGCCGATCGTCAAGGCTCGCCTGCAGAGAGACTCAGGTCATGCTCAGAGTCTGAATGAGTGCACGATTTTTGCACGGTCATGGCAGCCCGAGCAGACTGAGCAAGTGTTGCCACAATGGAGTCCCTCTCGATGAGCTGGCTGCATGTTGTGCATGCTCAAGGTCAGATAGTGGAGTCACAGGGGTTCTTGAACCCCAGTATAGTTTGACTGCACCAAGTCTGTCACTCCAGATGTCACACAACTCACATGCAGACGAAGCCAGCCAGCCCATCAGTTTAGCCTACCCCAAGCCTGGACCGGACGCCTCCAAAATCCATCACCCTCACCTGCATTCTTGAAGTGGAATCGCGTGGGCGCCGCGGCCTTGTGAGAGACCAGGCCGGGAGCAAGCCTGACATATGAGATCTGATGCGAACGGCATGTGACAGCACATGGACTGACGACAGCTTGAGCTAGTGCAGGTGCATACCATGCCCAACACAACTGAACGCATTTTGAGCAGGAGTCGCGAGTGATGCAAGAGATGGAACCTGGTACTGAGTCGGAAGGCCCCCAGGGCGTTGGTTCGGCTCTTGCAGATGCAGGTTTTGCATCTATGCTAGGTAAATCATATTGTTTTGTCGTGCTAGTTGCCTACCTATTTGACTATGATTCGGTGCTCGCGTGGCGAGGCATGAATCAGAATAACAACCTTAAATCTTGTTATTCTTCGAGCAGCAGCCAACAGATCGCGATCATTCGCTCGTAGCTTGGCATTGGCAGCGAAAGAAAGATGTTTTGCAGCCGTGGTCGTGTTGTCAAGCACATCCCCAGCAGCAATCAAGCCCTTTTTTTAGGAAAAGGTATCACCATGTTTTCTGATGTCTTGAATCCCTGAGCTCTTGCAGGCGATCTTGATTGTTGCCACCGGTCCAATTCAGCGATTACTGCCTCAGGCCTAAACCTAAAGCATCACGGATCCAAGGTTCCAGACCCGACACGCCTTGGACCCTCAATCCTCAAGCCGACGTGATGCTTGTACATGTAAGGTGATACAGCTGTACAATTTATACTGTATTTTTCTCAACGACATGCAAGCATCTTAGCGATGTGCCGAAACGTCAGGCGAATGCCGGCAGATTTTCGAAGTTTGGTCCTGGAACTTCGATGCTGAGTTTGGCCAGCTCTTGGCGGCCCTCTCATCGTCCAGGGCTGAAGCTTTCCCGGTCAGGTTTTGAAGTCCAGGGTAGTCTTGTCTTGGAGGCATTTGGAGGCTAAACCTAAACCCTAAACCCTAAACCCTAGAGTTGTTGGAGCATGTTGGAGCTGCGAGTCTGAGCCAGCTGCGCAAGACCAGCCGTGAAATGAATCACGTGGTCACTGCCCAGGGCTAGTGATGGCGCGGTGTTGGCGCTGGATACTGTGCCTGGGCTGTCTAATTAATACCCTATGAAAATTTACGAAAGTCACGGTCAGCCCATGTCAGGCCCATGCTCTTCACTCAGTGATCTCAGCGTTTCGGGTACAGGGTTTGGTTGATCCGATCGTGAAAGCTTTTGAAGCGGCGTCCTGGGCTTAAAGCTCAGGGATCTGGATTGCTGGCCTTTCCGAGGGTCCCAGGCCCTAGGATGGGCTCTTGGGAACGCTTCCAATGCTGAGGAGTTTCCGGGCTTCTTGCGCGAAGAGAAGCAGACTGCGAAGCGCTCCGCAAGGCCCGTCCTGAGCTGACATGTCCAGAGAGTACGGCTCCTGGTGGTCATGGTCCGACGCCCCACCGCAGGTACGCAGCGCTGCGCCAAAACTGCGACAATCTTCGGTCCGCTCCTTGTGGGGAGACTGTTTGGCATACTCGCCCAGTCTGTGCAGCCGAAGAGATGTGTCCGCAGGGCTTGTCGGACTTTTTATATGATGCCCTGGCTGCTAAGGCCAATTCAGCTGGGCATCTCCGTGTCCCATCGTGACGGATCCCTCTGTGGGACTGCTTTGGCAAAAAATGCAGCATGTCCTGATGGGCATTATCCACGTTATATCTCTCCGCGGCCTATGTTGGAGGACCTGGTGCTTCAATCTTTCCTTCGACGTCGATGCCTGAGCCAAGTGCAGCAGATCTGGTCAAGTAGCCAAGCATTTCTTCCGTCGACCCCTCAATTCAGTGGTCAAGCAGGACTCGTGCTGATGGAGGAACGTGCCATACACCTCCTGAGGTCTACACGGACCTCTACACGGAGGCTTCTGCAACGAACGAAGTAGTCAATTCTGTGAGAGGAGATGCTTGGCAGCTGTGAGGTGGCTGCACATTTCAGTTTGCAAGTGCTGGCATGTTCGGAGAGAGACTAATATTGTGATAACGCCAGCAAACACACCTAGACACCCAGCTCCTTGCCTGCCAGCCCACCTACTTATTGCACCTACCTACGTACCCACTTACCCACCCACCCAACCATTGACTGACCGACCTACCTACTACGCAAACCTAGACTACTACTACTACTACTACTACTACTACTACTACTGCTACTACTACCATGTTAGTACTGATCGTCAAACTAGCAAGAGGTCAAGACGACATAGTAAACTCTTGTTGCTGTCACTGTGATTGTGAAGACTGTATATATATTTAATGGCTGCCGCCA